GAAACTCTCAGACTGAAGAAGTCTCTTGGAGGAGAGACGAAACGTTTCATTAGAGAAGAACCCGTCCAGAAGACCTATACAATTTTTTCCTTTTCCTCCAAAAGTTCAGTTGATGTTCATTCAGTGATTGCTTTCTCAACATTTCCAGTGGATTATAGGATGTTGCCCAATGCCCATGTTTTAAACAAGGATCTCACTCAATCCTTAGTGTTTAGAGTATGAGTTCCTGTACAGTCAAAAGGAGAGCTATGAACAAACACAGTAACCTCCTGTGCTTATTTGGAGGATGTACGTTTGTACACGAAGGGATAAAATCTGTCAGAACACTCATCTTGAGAAAACAGAAATTAGTCACAATTTTATTTTTGATAACGAACTCAGATGTGAATGGTAAATACTGTGAAAATACACATTTTGTCTGTTTTGCCACAGCAGCAGACAATAACCTAACTGTGGTTAGGTTATTACTGTGTTCAAATATAAAAAACATTAGAAAAGATGTAAAAAACAAACAGAACATTGAATATGAAACATAAATCTGAGAATTTAGAACAAAACTTATCAATATTAACCAAACAGTAAATCACAATCAACAAATACAATAAAAACTGAGTGACATTAATACACAAAATGAAATAATGTAAAAACACGTTCCACATTACCAGTAAATAAAATGAAATAAAAAGTGCATAAGTGATCTCCTGAATTATAGTTTACCGTTTTCCATATTTATTGTCCACCACCAAATGGCATCCCCAGTTAAACACCAACACCTGATTCTGTTCTAGAGCTAATGAAGTTCATGATGACCACCAGCTAAGACCTTAAAGGGCTCCTTGATTAGTTGTAACATTAGACTTTAGTTGATAAACACATTTTAACTGTAAAATAAAGACCGTAAAAATACTGTAGGATGTTTAGTTTTATTAATTTTATAAAATATACTTTAACACGGACGGAGCCATTTTATTTACACACAAAGCATTCTGGGTAAATGATGACGTGGATAGGTCCTCTGTGTGAGCGAGCTATATCCACCCTGAAGGTTAATCTTGGACAAGATCTGATGATCGACTCTTTTAAATGAAACCAGAGAGCGTTGACAGAGAGGAGAAGGTAGAAATGACAGCCTGGAACTGAAAATATGGATGGAGGACTTCAGTTTAGCTTGTTTGTCGCACTAGCGCTTTGCTAATACATATAAGGTAATATAGGCTGTGTCCAAAACTGCAGTACGGGTCCTCCGAAGGCCGAATTCATCGGCCGCATATGTCACAGCGCCGCGACGAAGGCCGTCTAAAAC